TGTGGGGAGTGGGCGGGGGCAGCAGGGGGCGCTGGGCTGCGGGGAGCAGGACGGGGGCAGCAGGGGGCGCTGGGCTGTGGGGAGTGGGCGGGGGCAGCAGGGGGCGCTGGGCTGCGGGGAGCAGGACGGGGGCAGCAGGGGGCGCTGGGCTGTGGGGAGTGGGCGGGGGCAGCAGGGGGCGCTGGGCTGCGGGGAGTGGGTGGGGGGCAGCAGGGGACTCTCCCCTGGCAGTGCCCCCAGGCGGTAATGCCACCCTAACGCCCGCTCTGTCCTGCCCGATCTCTGCAGGGCCCGGAGGGGATCCAATACTCCACCCTGCACTTCCAGGCACCCCGTGGGGCCGGGGTCAGGGCAGAAACTGGCGCGGCCACCATCTACTCTGAACTGGCCACCGGCCACGGCTGACGGGGCTGGCAAGCGCGGGTGCCTCTGGGGCAGGGCCAGGCCCCACCTTGGGGAAAGACGCCTCCTTCCCTCGGAGAATCCCTGTGACACCCGTCTGTCTCTGCAGTTAATTCTCTGGTCATGGAGGGGGGCCGGAGAACTGTGTTGACAATATTGTAGGTCCTACATTATGTACTGTAAACAAGCCCAGCCCAAGTGGGGCACGGCCAGCTATGAAGTTTCCTGCTACTTCAAATGTCAACTGAAAGGGGGCGGGTCCACCGCCTCCATTCCTGCCCCCTAGATATATGTCATAGGTCCTACATTATGTATCGTAAACAAAGCAAGGTGTCAATAAAGTGGGTGTTGGGCAGGAAGGAAATACTCTGTGGCTTGAAGCAACAGAAGGAGAGGGGCGGGAGGGTATATTGCAGAGGAAACTGTTGCTGATGGGAATCAGTCACAATCCACAAACAATATTGTAGGTCCTACATTATGTATTATGTAAATCAAAACATAAGCAAAATTTGTCTGAGTTGTGAATACTTTCCCCTGATAACAGAAGATGGGGGGATTGGGGGTTGGACTAGTTGACCTCCTGAGGTCCCTTCCAACCCTGATATTCTATGATTCTATGATTTCCAGAACGGTGCTGGTTACCCTCCATTATACTCCACTGAGGCTAACATTGTAGGTCTTATATGATGTATTGTAAACAAAATAAACTGTAAACAAACAGAATCCTTTTCTTTTGCTGGTCCAAGTGGTGAAATATAATGGCAGGTGAATGGGGATCCTGCTCATGGCAACCAGTCCGTCCCCCCTTCCTGACTGCTGAGAATAATATTGTAGGTCCT